CGATGGCCCGACAGCGTGAGTCGTGCGGTCCAGCGGCCAGGTACGCACGGACGAGTGTGCTCCCATGCAATGTAAGCACACCGTGTACTGAGTACGGGAGACGCGCCGCCTCACCGAGTCATCACATCCCCAGGCAGATGCTTTACGTCTGGTCTATTCCTCTCTTGTACGTCTCGTCTCCCAGGCTCGTAGGAAGAAGAGGCGGCCGGCAGCCTTCCACATGGATCCGAGCGGTCTTGCGGCGTTGAGAGCTTGGACTTGCTAAAGCTGCTGGTGCCCGAAGCGCATCGGGGGCCAAAGTGGTGCCGCCCGAACATACCAGGAATCGGAGGTAGCTTGTACATTGCCGCGCATGTACGCCCAACTTCCTGGTGCGTAGTGCCGTTGCGGAAATGAGGTACGGTCATCACGCAGGACTGCAGGCGTGCCGGCGGCGCACCGAACGCAGGCCGACGCTTGCCCAAACGGTACCCACTATCGCACGGGGAAACCAGGCGGTGCATTTCTCCGCCGCGTCTACGGTGCCCTGCTCGCGAGTTCCTGGCATCTTATGCAAGATCGGCACAACGCCGCTCCCGCTGGCGCACCTCAGCGCCGACCACGAACTTCCTTTTTATTCTGCGAGCTGAGCAAGACGGGTGTGCTGCGGGCGTGGCGGGGACATCAGCCGCATTGATTCCTGAGAGCCGAGACATGAGATACGTACTTGCATAGCGAATGTGCTGACTGTGTCGGGCGAGGGATGACTACTGCACCAGGCACAGACATGGCGAAGTTCCGTTGTGCGTCGTCAGCAAACGAGTGCTGTTCGATAGAGAAGCCGGGGAAAGAGGCGGGCTATCCGGTGTACAAGTTCGCTCGCAGGGCGAACCGCGTGATCTGGATAGAGAGGAGAGTGGCCAGGACAGGTGAGCTTCCGTATCATAGCTGCGAAGGCGATTGCATGCAAGACCCGATTGATGCGCCCAATGCCCGCCGATGCGGTATTATGTGCGAAGTACGAAACGCGCCAGAAGGACATAGCAGCAGATCGCCGAGTATTGGGCCTTCACGGTTCCGACAGAAAGTCGCCGCTCATACCATGTGCGGATATGCATTCTTCACATCGTGAACAAGGTGAGTGCACCTGATGAACAATGCAAGCATAGAACGTCTCCAAATACAGCGGATATACAAGGGTATATGTGGGTAGCCTAAATAATACAACAGCAGTACTGGAAGTGGATATGAGCATATCAGCAAGACAGTAGACTTCGGAGATGCACGTACCATGGGATAGAATATACAGGGTATACTACCGGATGCCGGCGGCGGTTTCCACTTTGATGACCTCTTCCAGAAGCGCGTCCCTGCCCTCTTCTAGCCAACGGATGTATTCCCTTGCGCGGAACAGAATTCCACTCTTGCCCTTCGTGCCTCGCCCACGACTGCCGCTGCCTTTAGGCCGACCTCTGGTTGGCATACCGGAGCCAGGAGGTGCGCCGGCGGGAGCGAGGAGGGTTGTCAGCTGCAAGTAGCCGTCCCGGATTGCGTTACGGCGTTTCTGCTCAGACATGATGTGGTTGAGCCTCTTTTGCGGGGTCGAGAGCGGTGCTTTAACCCGTGCTGCGTTCGCTCCGGGAGTCTCCCTTGAGGATGGAGAAGCAGAAGACGATGGTGATCGACTCCTTGTGGTGATGGATGGCTTCACATCTGCATGATGGGCGAAGGTGGGCTGCTGCTGAGGTAGTTGCTGACGATGCTGGCGGGGTGGTTGCGTCTGCTGCTGTGACGTCTGATGTCTAGAATCGGGCTGCGAGGTGAAGAGGGAAGACGAAGGTGGGAGCTGGTCGAGGCCAGGTGGTGCGGTCTCCTGCAGAGGACTATGATAAAGAGGCTCTGGAGGAACGTCGGGTAGCTGAGAGTCTAGATTGAAATCCCAATCAAAGTTCTCGAGGAAGCCGAAGAGGTCAGTTGTCTCCGAGGCTGAGAAGAGACCGTCGGATGGCGGGAGAGGAGGCGGTGGTGGCAAGGGTGCGTGGAGGGCGGGATTGAAGAACTGGAAGTCGTCGAACGCGACGGGCGGGAGGCCCTGTCCTTGGCCTTGGCTCTGGTGCTGGTGCTGGTGCTGGATGGGATGGGAGTCGTGGTCGTGCGGGGCAGACATGACGGTGGCGGAGCAAGTTGTCCGAATCCACGCCCGGATAGCCGGAGGGCGGGGTGTGACCGTGACGTGACCAGGAAGGCCGATCGCTCGCACGGCACGAATCGGAGCGGAGCCGGAGACCGGAGGGGCAGGAGGATCGGTCGGCAAAGGGCGGGGGGTGGGGAGCAAAAAGAGGCTACGCGGGGGTCGCCCAGCCCGTCCGCTCCGAATCACCGCCCATCACCTCCATGTCGGCCCTCTCAGAGGCCTCTACGCCGGCCCAGGACGCGGCCCCTCCGTCGATCGACACCCAACAACTCCAACAACACAACCAACAACTCAACGCCGACCTCCAGCAACAGCCACAGCAGTCTCTTTCCGGCTCTGCCTCCGCTGGCCCCGCCGACGGCTCCCGCAAGCGTGCGTGTCCAAGCCCATCCCTCCGCCGTCGCCGTCGTCCGCCCGCCCTGACCTCCGTTCACAGCTAAAGCGCCCTCCGTCCGTCGTGCTTGTACCGCATGCCATGCCGGTAAGACCAGGTGTAGTGAAGTACTTCCATGCCAGGTTAGTATCACCCCCTCCGTACACTACGCCGCCAAATTCGTTATCCCTCTCGCCGCCGCCTGTCCTCATGCTTATCTAACTCCTCGCCATGCCCCCAGAGCTGCCTGAAACGCGGCCTCGGTGCTTCATGCACCTATCCTGACCCTGACGCCGAAGCACACCAGAACCAGCAGGCCCAGCCACGTATGTGCTATTTTCTCGTGTGCATAACGCCCCAGCAAGTCCGTCTGACACCTGTCCGTTCAGCTCAAGTCCCGCCCTTCGCCGCTGCTGCCATGGCATACCCTCCGCCGATGCAAGGCCTTGCCCATCCCCACTACTATGACTACAACAACACCTTCGCCGCTGCGAATCCTCCTCCCGCGGCAGCGTCGACGTCGACGTCAACATTCCGCCCGGCCAAGCGGCCCCGGCCACTCACCGAGGAGGAAACCGCTGCTATCACCCGCAACTTTACCCGCGGTGACTTCTTTGTGGGCTCAAGCGCCCCGGTGCGCATCGATCCACGTCTGCCCGTGCGCCTCACGCTGGCGGAGGGCGATCAGGTGCACTTCTCTATCGGAGAGGCTATCGTTTGAGCTTTCCATGTACCTCTCCATTTCTTCGGGTATGAGCGACGGACATCGTGTAATTGTATCGTCTGTTGTCAGCTAGCTTTCTTGTTCTGGAGGCCTCCCCATATGTATGTAGTAGTCCGTATCCACGTCCTGTCAGCAGCAATTACGTATCTCTCTTGTGACCAGCTCGATTGATGAGTGCCTCAATAGTAGTGCTGGAAAGATACTAGTAGTTACGGAAAATGTGAGATAATTAATAATACAATGGAATACGATTACCGTGGCCCTCCGTATCGTACTCAAAGTGTATTGTATCTGTATTAATATTCATATCTAATCCTATCTACTGGTATGCATTGATCTATTGGTGGACCAAGACTGACACTAAGTACTCGACGTTGTCGCCAAAGCCCCGCCGTAGCCACTCCTTTGTAATTATTGTTCTTGATGCAGATATAGCACTGAGGGACAAACGAGCATCCCGCGGTGTGTGCCGGCACGATGAGAACAGTCGTTCGACAGCAATGCTCACACCTGGGATTGCGAGAACATCACGAGCGATCCGAGATAGCACCGGGCTGAATGAGCCTAGTAAGGAAGTGTCAGAATCAAGTAGACTGGCATCTTGAGGCCGGGACGTTTGAGATGCCGTACCTTCCACCAAGGGAGGGCATTGTTCTCATCACCGCAAGGATGGATGTTACAGCGACTCCGAGTGGGCCGTCGACGGTCCCTTCGGGTACGGTGGGTAGGATTGCATCAATCAGATGCTGAAGAACTCGAAGGCTGGCATGGACACGAGCCTTCTGCTCATTGATGAGCAACGTCCCGGCGTTTTCTAAGTCGTCGGTCATGAAAGCAGTGATGTCGAAAGATCCCGGAGCCGAGCTTGAGCATTCACCAGTCGCGCTCTGACTCTGAGTCCCAAGGGCCAAGGCAGGCTCGAGGTCTTTTTTTTTTTTTTTTTTTGAGATCCTGGGTATCCTAAATTACACGTATATACTACACGCAGTGCTTTACAGCCGTCTGCACTAGGGTCGGAGCCCGCGGGTTTTGTCGTGGATCCCGCACACACGTATCGCGCCTGCCGCTGAGCGTCTGGTCCCAGCGTTGGAGAGGGTGAGGGGCGCAGAGCCCGCTATCGGAGGTGGAGTCCTCGCGTCACGCCGTCGGTCAGGCTCGGGGTCAAGTGAATAGATTTGATTAGATACAGGTCCTTTACTGTATTGTAATCGGACTCTATTACTTAGTATTTGAATATAATTGCAGGCTTTATGAGTACGAACCCCGACTCTATTTACAGCGTAATCGGAGCATAATCTCGTATTACGATACAATATATTCATATTCTTGTCCAGCACTACTCAATAGGCGCATGTCCGCAGTATGTCCGCGCGCACATACATACGACAGGAGCTCAGATCAACACATGTCTCAGCGAACATCGGTATTCCTGCAGTCGGAAGAGCAAAAACGACATGACGAGAGTGGGATTCGAACCCACGCCCGTGAGGACCAGATTGCAAGAGGACACTGGTATGTGACCGCCTTAGTCTGGCGCCTTAGACCGCTCGGCCATCTCGCCATGTAAGCGCTGCACTCCCGTGTGGACCCATGCCGATACAGTTGGTGCTGTAATTCAACGAACCTCACGAGATCTCATTTTGGAGAGCGCTATTTGCTAATTGGATTGTTGGTATAGCACGCATGCCCCTCTGTGCCCTCATACTTGCACACAAGCACAGCGCTTACATGGCGAGATGGCCGAGCGGTCTAAGGCGCCAGACTAAGGCGGTCACATACCGGTGTCCTCTTGCAATCTGGTCCTCACGGGCGTGGGTTCGAATCCCACTCTCGTCACTCCTTGTTTTCTTTTTAGACACTACAGCACTACAGCTGCATCGGTACTTTCAAGTCGATGCAAGAGTGGCCAGTACTGTACATCGCATAGCCACGCCCATCACCCTAACTCATATACTTACCAGAGCAGCAAATAGTCATGGGACTCGCCGTCAGTGAACTTGCCGCACGCGCAGTGCACCCCAAAGTGAGTAACCCACACGTCAGGTTCGCCAGCACACAGGAACATAACCAACGCCATAATGATCAAACATTACAGCTACGCGCTACACTGAAGCAATTTACGACATATCAGTGTCCGAATCAGTGTCGCCGAACATGATTTTGAGGTTCTCGATGCTCTCTGGGTCGGAGTCTCGCTTCCCCTTGAATGCTTCCTTGACAATCGCAGTCTTGCGCTTCTGGATTTGCAGGATGCGCCCCTCAATGGTTCCAGAGATCTGTATACTGCGCGTCACAAGACGATGGATGCTCAGAACGAGGATAGAAGACGCACGATGAATTGCTTGACGTAGACCGGCTTCTCCTGTCCAATCCTATGTACGCGGTCGATGGCTAGTAGAGGTCAGTGGAGGCAAAGGCTATGATTATACAGATTGATGCAGACCTTGATTCTCTGTTGCCGCGTTCCACCAGCAATCCATCTGTAGTGGGGGGATCCGTTGACGACACAGCGACATAGCAAGATAAATGGAACACTTACCATATACACATGGTTTGCATTCGTCAGCTACGTGATGGATGTCAATCGACGTACACGAAATGGACGGAATCTTGACGAACGTTCAATCCGACGCCGCCCGCCTTCAAGCTGACGATCAAAACCTTGGCTTCGCGCGAGGGTGCCTTGAATCCGGAGACAGCCTCGTTCCGTTTCTTCACGTCCATTGACCCATCAAAACGATGCCACGTAAGATTTTCACGCTCCAAGACGATCTGGATTAGGTCGAGGAAAGAGGTGAACTGAGAAAATACGACAGCTCGGAAGCAAGGATCTTGATCCCTCAGTCGCCCTGCGAAGCTTGAGCGTTAATTGCTGGCCAGATCATGTATTGAGTAAGACGTACGCAGGTCCTGTACCAAGGCCTCCAGCTTGGTCGATGAACGGAAATCGTTGCGCCGCAATGTCACGCTTGGCGTCGGAGCTTGTTTGCCATCCTCGCCCTTGTCAGAGCTGTTCTGCCGCGATCGAACGACTTCGAGCAGGTCGCTTTCCTGAAGGTGCACGGTTAGCGTGGTAGAGACCAAAGGCTTCGAAAGACGAACCTCGACAGGACCACGAGAGCACGTAGGACATTTGCCTTGCTCACCCTTTTCGCGGCAACGTTCGATGAAGGCGATGATACAATCCTTGCAGCTGCAGGGTGTCAGGTTCAACAGAGTAAGGTCCATGATTCGGCTTGGAGGGGTACTCACCACTGGTGCATACAGTCAGGTAGGATGGTCGGCGTCTCCATCACGTCGAAACAGATGGGGCACTCCGCGTCCTCCTCCTGCCCGAGATTTGCCAGGACACCCTCGGCATACACCCTGCTATCGCCAGCGGTGTTTTCGCCCTTGCCGAATTGTTCGATCAGCTCGTTTACGTTGATAGCTGCTGCTGAGGATGATGCTTTCGAGGCGACTGCGTCATTGGATGCCAGCACCAAGTTCGGGTGGAGGACTGCACGACGTAGACTGCCGACAGTTATCGGCATATATGGTACGGAACGGCGATATTAGGGACTTACCGCATGAGCATGGCGAGGATGTGAGTATAATTGCGGCTCACTAGGCCCTTCGCATTGAGATGCTCGAAGTCCTTCTTGGCATCAGAATACAACGAGTCGTATATCTTGCGTTCTAATGGCGAGAACTCGAGCATTTCGATCTTGACCTGTGAAGTCTATGTGAACCTCCTGCCGCATTGAGGAGACATAGTATATGTGTTATGTATCACCTCTTTTGAGGGTAGCTCGACGATCTTCTTGCCATCAGAATCGAGCATGTCCTTCTCACGGCGGAGGAGCACACTTTCGAGGATAATCTGCACGACTTCGACCGCTTTGCGATCACGGGCCAGGAAGGGCAAAGTGATGAACCTGCGTCCGGATCAGTGGATGAGTGCTGGGAAGGAACTTTGACACTGACGAGCGGAAGAAGGTATGGTTAGACCAAGGTGTGAAATCCAAGAATTTCCTGTGCAACGATGTGCTTCAGTGAACCTTATGTATATCAACGGTAAAAGACGCAACATACAAGAGCGAATACAGATCCTCGAGGCGGTTGACAATGGGTGTGCCCGTGACAGCCCACCTTCGTCGAGCACGTAGGGCATAGACAGCCTTGGCACTCTTGCTTGTCCGCGATTTTATGTGATGTGCCTCATCAAGAACGACGCCTTGGACAAATCTCAGCGTCACAAGCGGTACAACGGTTGTATAAATCAAACCCACGTAACCATTCGACTAAAGGCAGGCGGCGTGAGCTTTCGTCCGAACCTGAACAATGCGGAGACATGCCTTCGAATACGGAAGACGGTTGTTTCTCGTGCCTCGCGTGTTCAGAAACTAATGTCCCGTACGAGGTGATCACGACATCCGTTGCGCCATGACTATCTGAGTCGACCGCAGCATCCAGGTCGAGCCTATTCTGGCCGTGCCATACAAGTACCCTCAGAGCGCCCGGTTGACTAGAGCGCTGCAATTCTTCTGCCCACTGAGACAGGAGCGAGGTTGGCGCAACGATCAGAGTGGCTGTCGGACCCCTGCCTTGTTTCTGGGGTTGCTGGTTGGTGACACGGAAGGCGTTATTGAGCTTGAGCTGTCGGCGTTTCGACGATGCGCCAGGGTCGGCCTCTGCAGGAACCTCAGGGCCCAAGGCAGTTTGTATCAGTGCTGACAACATGATCGTCTTGCCCATGCCCACTGCAGATGGATGAGAACAAACTGAGGGAAGGATGAAATTGGGACGTACTCTCTGTAAATGAGCCGGAGTAGACATCGTGTTGCGTCAGCGCTTCGTCGGACATACCACCATATCAACGAATTACCATCACTAGTACGACGTCAGCGTGCTAATCGTCAACACTCGGGCCATCCAACTCACGCTAAAATTCCGCCCTTGCATTTTCGCTCAGCTTTCGGAAATTCTAGACTCAACTCTCCAGAGTACTCGTTGAAGTAAAACGGTCGCTCTTCGGCGGTGAGGTCGATCATGTCGTTGTTTGGATCGAAAGGAAAGACATATCTATGCCTCGAAGTTGAGGGCGTACAGTGCAAGCAATGGATTTTCACTCACTCTTTCCACAAGGGGTGCATTGATGTGGCTTCGCGAGCAGCTGCTGCCCCCGTCTCGATAGAGCTCATCCAGCTACGGCAGACTTAGAAGGACAATGCTGTCAAGTACAGTGATGCGACGCACAAGAGAGCCTGCTTCTGGTATCCACGCAATTTCAGCGTAAACGTATCGGCCGGTTCCATCTCCGCAAGCTGACGATCGTTCTGCTGCGCTCTATATACATCACTGATCAGCGACGCCATTTTATCCCTATGAGAGCGACCTTACTTCTTGTAGATCATGTTCAACTCTTCTTCCGTGATGTCTCCTTCGTTATCATCGTCCTCTATCTCACTCTGTTGACCTGGCAATCGAGGCTTGGATGCGCCGGATCGTTGCGTGAGTAGTTCCAGGTCATCCTTATCCAGTCGCTTCTTGTTGCCGAAGTCGCCCCCTTTGCGAGGTTTCAGGTTGATGCGTTTGAATAGATTGATCAGTGAGCTTTTCCGCTCTCGGAGGACTTGCTCCTCCTCAGTTTCTTGACCCTCATTGAACATGGGCTTTGCCCTGTCTTCAGAGGACACAGAAGATGGTCGGAACGCCGAAGCTTTGATATAGACGGAGAGCGATACTATCAGGTCCGCTCCTGTGGTCAGCTTTCCGGGACACTCGACCATGGTGCACTTCTTGAACTCGACTATGCCTATATGCGACTATCAGATATTGGGCAAGACAAGGTCGGAATTGTGCATACCAAGGTCTAATAGTCTGGACACCCAAGAAGCCACGTCCTGAGGTAAGCGTCCGAACTCTGCAGGATCGACAAGTTACAGTCTCAGATACGCCTGGGCCATATGCGTCTGCATAACTCACCAAAGCCTCTAGAGTTTGTCAGGCGAACGACAGAATCCTGCTTCTTCTTGGAGGGCTTCGGCGGTGTTGGTTTGAGCATACTCGCGATAGTGAGCTGTTTCTTCCCACCCTTGTCCTTGACGGGCTTCTTTGCTGGGGGAGGAGGCGGTCTATCGGGCTCCTCCCTTTCGATCAGTATTTCTTCGCCGGGTTTGATATACCCTGTTCCCTTGACGGTGCTCCAAGCTCTATCAACCAAAAACGACCCTAGATACATAGACTCGGCAACGCTGGTAGCTGTTTGTGCAGCAGGGGACATCCTCCTCCGCTTTTGAGGACGCTCTTCGTGGTTCGGAAGAGGCGGTGGAGAGCGGGGGGAAGAGTCTCGACGATCGTTCAACCCTGAAGACGTACTAGACACGCTGGAGGCTCGAGGAACATCGACGAACTCCGGCATTTCCACGTCAAGTTCGAGTTCAGATTCTTCAGTGGCATCAGGGAGCTCTGGAATACTTGCAGGCGCGTAGCTAGATGGTTCATCGTCATCACTGTCAGCGAAGAATAGAGGCTTCTGCGTCGGTAATCGTGGACGAGTCGCGTCTAGCGGTGCCAACTGAGATTCTAGGGGATGAGTGGAAGATGGCGGATGTGACTGCTTGCCCGTGTCTTCATCGTCTGAGCCAGCAAAAAAGCAAGACCTCTCCGTTTCAAGAGCCATGTCGCGGGGGATTGAGTGCAAAGCGTGTATATCGACGACGCGTCTGAAGTCGTGCTTAATGATTCGCAGCCACAGACGCGGCGCCGACGCGTCAACATTTGCAAATATCGGCAAATAGCGAAGATACGCTTATGGTAGGTCATTTCCACGCTATCGCAGGCGCGTACTCGAA